ACTCCATCCAAAAACAACAGAATACACATTTTTCTCAAGTGCTCATGGAACATTCTCCAGGATAGATCATATATTGGGTAACAAATCGAGCCTTGGTAAATTTAAGAAAAATGAAATCATATCAATTATCTTTTCCAACTACAATGCTATAAGACTAGATGTCAATTACAGGAAAAATCTGTTAAAACTACAAACACATGTAGGCTAAACAATACACTAATAAATAACCAAGAGATCACTGAAGAAATCAAAGAAGAAATTAAAAAATACCTAGAAACAAAAGACAATGAAAACACGACAAGCAAAACCTATGGGATGCAGTAAAACCAATTCTAACAGGGAACTTTATATCAATACAATCCTACCTCAAGAAACAAGAAAAATCTCAAATAAACCACCTAACCTTACACCAAAAGCAACTACAGAAAGAAGAACAAAAAAACCCCAAACCGCCCTCCCGGCCCGGTTCTTCCTCCTGCGCTCCCTGGTGGTGCCGTGGGCCAAGCGTGCGGGACCTGGAGCCGGCCTCGGGGTCTGCATGGCCTGGGAGGAGTGTGTGTGTGTGTGAGCGCGTGGTGGCTGGGCTCACCCCGACCCCGGCTGAGTCCACAGTCGGCGTCCGGAGAGGAGGGAGTCACGGCGGGCACGTCCGCTCCGGGAGGGACGCAGGACTCCCAGACGTCGCTGCCCCCCACCCCCGCAGCAGGGCTCTGAGCTCTCAGGTAGGGAAACCGAGGCCCAGCGATGCGTTCCTCGCAGGCTGGGACAGGGCGCCCCAGGGACAGCCCCTTCCAAGTGGGGCCTTGGGCTTCAGCTGGGCAGTTCTGTCTCGTCCTTCCCCGCCCCCTCTGGGAGCCCACCTGCCCTCCTTCCCACACATCCTGCCTCAGCTCCACTCAGGGGCAGGTGAGGACCATGCCCACCTGGCCACGGAGCTAGGTGCCACTGAGAGAGTGCAGGGCCTGGGGAGGGGAGGCTGGGAAGAGGGAGGGGAAGGGAGGAAGGGGGAGGGGAGGAGGGGGAGGGCCATAGTGGGGGTTCTCACGAGCTTAAGCTGCACTGGAGCAAGCAGAGGAGGCTTCCAGACACTGGCACAGCTGCGGGGGGGCGGGGGGCAGGGCTGGGGGCCCAGGGTCAGCAGAGAGCGATGCATCAGGCCAGAGGCACAGAACTTTCCTCAGCCATCAGAGCAGAGTGCTGGGTGTGCTCTGGTCCCTGAGGACTCTGGCGAGCCGCTGTCCCCTCCACTCCTCCCCTGTCCCTCCTGGGCTGTGAGCCCAGGGACCCTCTGTCCCAGGAGACTGGCCAGGCAGAGATGTTTGGCCGGGATTCCGCCGGGGGGTTCCAGGAGCACCCCCTGAAGAGGTGGCTCTGTCGTGGCAGGTGCAGGGAGGGGGGGTGCTTCGGGGCTGCCCCGCAGGGGCAGGGCGGCTCTCCTTTCCCTCGCACCAGGAGGCACACAGCCACAGGAGGGGCGGCCCGAGGTTGCCCGGGGAGACCCTCACCCCTGGTGCTGGGAGACGGGGACTCGTGGGGGGGGGCGGGGTTCAGTGTCCTCTAAACCCGTGCACTGCCCGTTCCCTCGGCGGCCACACCGACCACTGACCCCGACCCAGGTCACCTCCACTCCACTTCCTTGGATGGCCCCAGTCGAGCCTTCTAAGTTTGCCTGGGGGCAGCTGTGTTTGGGTCTATCGCCCCCATAGGAGCTCGGTGAGGTAGACTCACCTGAACGACAGCTGAACGCACAGACCCCGGCCACAGGGAAGAGGGCAAAGCTTGCTAGGGTGTCTGGCCCTGGGGTGGGGTGGGGTGGGATGGGGTGCTGGCTGAGCCTGGGCAACCCCCCAGGCCTCAGAACCCCCCTAACACACACAGCCAGGGGCGTGGCCGGGCGGCTCCACACGGGCTCTGAGCGACCCCACGGTCCCGTGCAGAGGCCTCACCAGCCACCCAGAGAACGGTCTCACACCTCCCCCTGGGGCTGAGCCCCCAGGAGGCAGCACTCAGGACCCATGGCCCGTCTGAGGGGTGGTGAGATGCCTCAAAGGCACACAGCCACCTGGGAGCCAGCCACAGAAGGCTCTGAGCCCCCAGGACTCTGAGGCCGAGGGAGGTGAGCAGGGTAGGGGATGTCTGTGGCTGCCTCATCCACTCGGTCAGTCTCTAGCTGGACAGTCCCGAAATGCAGATGTTCAGGCCATTGTGACCGAGTGCCCCAGCCACGTGCTTCAGAATCTGGGGGTGGGGCAGGCTTTCCAGAAGTGGGAGATGCTTCTCATGGACAGCTGGGCTGAGCCCACCCCTGTAATCCAACACCTGAGGCCCTGTTGTCCATCCTACGGAAGGACAAACTGAGGCCCAGAAACACGGGGACGTGTGTGAGGTCGGCTTACTGGCTTCCTGCTGCTGTTCTAACCAATTACCCTAAACTCGGAAGCTTAAAACACCAGAAACGTGTTCTCTCCCAGTTCTGGAGGCCAGAAGTCTGAGATCGAAGTGTGGGCAGGGCTGTGCTCTCCCGGAGGCTGGAGGGGAGGACCCTTCTTGGTCCCTTCCGCTTCTGGTGTCCCCAGGTGCTCCTAGGCTGCTGCCTCAGCACTCCAGTCTCTGCCCGTGTCTTCACATGGTCTCTCCTCTTCTGTCTCTTACTGGGAAATGTGTCAGTGGATTCAGGGCCCACCGGGTAATCAGGATGATCTCATCCCAAGATCCGTAACTTGAATACATGTGCGAAGATCCTTTTTCCACACAAGGGCACGTTCCCAGGTTCTGGGAGGCTGTATCTTTTGGGGGCCACCATTGAGCCCTCTGCGGTCAGGCAACAAGTTCAGCTTCTCCAACAAAAGCTCTGCCTCGGGATGCCGGGAGCACAGTGTGCCTCGGGCTTCTTGGGCTTGGGTCCCTACGGGACACCCCAAGGCTGGAGCCTACCTCCCGGCCTCCATGAGGCCCGGCAGACCTCTAACCCAGCCTTCTCAGCAGGGCCTTGGGGACTCGGCCCCACCAGGAGCTCGGGGTCGGAGCGGCTGCTTCTCCCACTTAACCGCCTCCCACGCACCCCACTTCTGGATCCCCAGGGCCCTGGGACCACCCTGGCTGCCCCCACCCCCGCGGCGGCTGTGCAGCTTCGGTGAGCCGCACCGCCTCTCACTCTGGCCCTGGGTCCCCGAGGGCCACCTCCCGTGGGCTCACCCCAGGGGCTGGTGTCCAGTGGGGTGAAGGCTGGGAACCACCACGTGGCCATGGTTAGTGGGGTTCCGGATGGAGTGTGCCATCGATCCAGGTCCTGTTCTGGAGGCTCCTGGGCCAACCCTGCCTTTTGCGGGATTGGGGCGGAGGTGGACGGGCCTGGGCTGGGTGCGGGTGGGGGTGGGGTGCGGTGGGAGCCCTGGGAGAAGTGAATCGAGGGGGTACGGGGGAAGAGCGAAGCCAGGAGGGGTCCCCCCAGCCGGCGGCCCTGACACCTGTCCTCCGCCTGGCCCACCCCCTCCCTGGCCCTCCCGCCTCCGCCTCGGGGCTCCCTTCCTTCCACGCCCACGCCTCTCCTCACATTAATCTGCTGCGCTCACTGCTGACCCAAGCGAAAGGGAGTTTGCCTTTTCCCCTCGCGGCAGTTTTCTGTTGGCAAAGCAAAATGATCACAGCGTGCGCTCAGCCCGACCTCCCCCGCCCAGCGCGAGACCACTCTGGAAAATGAGACGTTCCTGCGTGGGGCGGGGGCGGCGGCCGGGGCGGCCTGGGCGCGCGCCGGGGAGCTCCGCGTGCCCGCTGCTCGGCGCACGCCCTCAGCCCCACGCTCTCCCACGTCCTCCCGGGCCCTCCCCGCGCTGGGCACGGGGACAGGGGCAGTGTCCCGCTGCTGCCTCAGAAGCTCCTGGGCCTCACCCTCCCTCCCCGGGAGGCACATGCACAGGACACTCGCACCAGGCGGCTGCATCTTCCCAGGTATTTGTGGAGCTTGTGGATGAGCCGGCGCCGTCCCTGTCTGTGGCCCACGGCCCATCCGGGGCATCGCGACAACGGGATGTGGCTGGAACGGAAAGGGGGGGGTTTAGAGCCGTGACCGACCTGAGACATGGCCACATCTGAGGAAGGCTGAGCACATCCCAGCTTGGAACTGAGGGGGCAGAGAGCACAGGGCAAAATGGGGCTGAGGCGCTGGTATGGGGAAGAGCCGGAGCGCCTAGACACGTCAGGCCAGAGCGGATGGGCCGGGCAGGCACGTGCCTTCTCACCCCCAGCCCCACTGTGTGCAGATCCCCACGCGCCAGCCCGTCAGGGCAGCCCGCTGCCACTGGGGAGAGGACTCAGCCCAGGTGGGCCCTCGGGGCACAGCCCCTCTCCCAGCCTGGACAATCCCCCAGCACACACAGAGAAGCCCCTCAGCCGCCTGCTTCACTCCTGGGCTGGGCCAGGCGCTGACAACCCCAGGCTGATGTCGGGTGTGGCGGGACTCACCCTCGGGTGCCAGGCTTGTTCTGAGTCCTGCCCCCACGGGGGTGCAGTATTGCCCTCAGGGTGGGGGTCCTGCCAGGCCCAGAGTCGTGTCCATGACCTCATCCCCAAGGCCTCCTGGAGCCAGCCCAGGACTCCACCTTCGGTCAACTCAGCCGTCTAGGGACACTAGGGAGATGCCAGGGAGACTGGGTGGGCCGGGCCATTCCTGTGTGCTGAGGTGTGCTGGACACAGGGTGGCAATACTCTTGGCGTCCAGGAACAGCTGACAGGTGCCTCAAGTGGCTGGAAACGTGTGGGCAGAGCCTCCGCTGGCCCTGTGGGACGCCGGTTGGTCCGTGCCCCACGCTCAGCACCTACTTTCCCATCTGGAAAGTGGGCCACTGCTTCCTGGAGAGCTGGGGCTCCCCTCGATGCCCAGTCCCACCTGGCCCAGGGGAGCAAAGGCCCTGGCTTGCCTGAGGGCCGGGAAGCAGGCCACTTGTGCAGGGTAAGGGAGGGGCTGGGAAGGCCCTGGTGGGGCGTGCACCACCGGCTGTCCACATGGGGAGGGTCTGGTCCTTGGCAAGGGGCCATCCCCACCTGCCTGGGGCGAGAAGCAGGTAGCAGCTCCATGCCCAGCCCCAGCCCCTCTTGGGTCCAGATCGGCTGCTGGAAGCAGGGAAGTTGCTGAGTCCTGGACAGGACCTGCCAGCCCTGTCGTTCCCGATTAGCGGGTAATGCTTCCTTGATGCACAGTTTTATTAATCAAATTAGTAAGTGCTGAGGTGACCTTGGCCGGTTCTGCTGAGAGGGGCATTCTCCCAGGAGGGGCAGGTGGGTCGGGGAGGGATGCACCTGGATGCCCTGTCCCCAGGCTCCGGCAGGTGGCGCAGCCCTGCCGTCCCACTCCGAAAGCTGCATGCCCTCATCACACCCACTTACCCATTCCCTTACACTCTCACATCCCCCCACTCACTCCCCTGCCCCAGTAATGCTAAAGAAGGTAGTGGATGGCAGGGGCCAGGGCTGCCTGGCCTCCCCCGCCCAGGGCTGCTCCTGCCTGGGGACCTCACAGAGGGGACAGGGATGATGCCCAGAGACGGGGGTGGCTGGGCCTTGGTCTGCAGGGGGGCTTCCTTGCTCTCCTGGGTCTGCTGCTTGCCCTTCCCCAAACCTGCACTGCACTCAAGCGGGCAGCGGCTGCCCCCTGGTGGCCACGGGGACCCCTGCCCCCCCCAACCCTAACCTGCCTAGGGCTGCAGGCAGCACCCCGTCCCACCTCTCACTCCTCTTTTTGGGGCCAGATCCTGAGCCACACCACCGCGGGACCCAGGAGAGTGTGGCCGCCGTGGTCTCTGGGGGCCGTCCACCAGTATGCATGGTTGGGGGGGGAACACTGAAGGCTCACGGTCTGAGGAGCCCAGTTCAGTGCCAAAGGGGCTGGGGAGGAGTCCAAGGGGGCTAGAGTGGGCTGCGGGCACCCCTCAGTGCTGGGCTTAGGTGCAGGGGGATGAAACGGCCCCGCAGACACCTGCCCGAGGCTGGAGCAGGGGCCTCGGACGCCCAGGCTCGCCTGCAGGGCGAGGAGCGGGGGCGGGTGGCAGAGTCTGGCAGGATGGGGTGGGGCCTGGTGGGGTGAGGGCGGAGACAGGGTGAGGGCAGGTGGAGCTTGGCCAGATGGGAAGTGAGGGCGGGAGATGGGCCTGGCTGGCAGCTTGGTAAAGGACTGGACTGCAGGTGCAGGGCTGGGATCAGATCTAGGCCCTCGACGCAGAAGGGGTCAGGATGAGGGGACAGGAGGGACAGAAGCAGGGATGGGTCCCCGTTCTGTCCACGGAGAGACAGTAAAAGGTGTTGCAGTAGTTGGCCTTGGCTGGGACCCCGATCAGACGGGAGGCAGTGCTGTGGGCACCAGGCTGCTGTGTGGAGGGAGGGGCAGGGCGGGAAGGTAGCTGAGCCTTCTCTAGCCTGTTGGGTGCCAGGTGGGCCAGTGGGAGGGGTGCCCAGAAGGAATCACTGGGGGCCAAACAGAAGCTTGGCTTGGGGTGGAGCCAGTCCTGAGGGAGGGTGTGGACAGGATATGGCATGCTGGGGGTGGGTGGGGGGATGGGGAGAGCTCAGCTGAGGGGCCTCAGGAGCCCAGCACAGGGGGCAGTGGGCATCTGGGCTGCAGGGACCCGCTGGCAACACATCAGCCCAGGCTCTCTGGGGACGACTCCTTCAGGATCCAAGAAGGGCAGCCGGACACCCCCACCCGGGAAGCTGCCCTCAAGTGGGCACCTGGGGCGCAGGAGGACAGGGCAGCCTCCTGGCACTTGGGAGTCGGCGTGCAGAGGTGACTGTGACACTTCCCGTGGGGGGGGGGCAGCACCTGGCCCCCAGCACTGGGCTCGGACACACCTCATCTCACAATGTCTTTAATGGGCAGCTCTGGGCACTGGGTGGGGCAGCAGACTGGCCCGAAGGTGCTCTGGGGTCAGGAAGGCGTGCATGGGGTCCTCACTCCCAGCCAGCTGGAGCCTGTGCTGGGGCTGGGGTGTGGGGAGAGCTGGCCCCTCACTGCCGGCCTGGGCAGCCTGGCTCAGGGCTGTGGGGCTGGGGACAGCCTCCTTCCAGCCTTGCCTCTCTTGGCCTTGCGGTTCCAGCCAAGGAGGGGCCTGGGGCTGGCTTGTGCGGGCCCTGGTGTCTCCCAGCCACACTCCTTCTGGCTCCTCAGAAGCCCCCCCAGGGCTGGCCGGCGGTCCCCCTGTGTTCGGGATGGAAATGGGTATTGGTCGGCACCCTGGCCTGGCCTGTTTGTGGCCAGCCTGGTGAGTGCGACAGGGATGAGCTGGGTGGTATTCAGGGGGCACGTGGCGGGGTTCCTGGGAGGGCGGCCATGTAGCAGGGGTTTGCCGTGCTGGGCGGACAGAGCTCCTGCGCAGCTCCTGCCCGGGGCCTCCAGGAGGGTGGAGGCCAGCTGAGGGGTGGGCTGGGGCCTTGTCAAGGGCAGGAGCTGCCACCACGTGGAGGCCGCAGCATAGGTGGCTGCTGCCTGGAAGGTCATCCGAGTGCTCTCCTGGCATCTGCGGATGTTGGGGGCTTGGTGGAAGGCCCAGGGCCGGGGCGGGACAAGGAGTTAGGGACCACCCCCCCAGGGCCCCGGGGCTCACCGAGCCAGGCGGCTCGGCACCGGGCAGCAGCGTCAGCACCTGCAGGCTCACGCCCTCGTCGCCCACGCCCTTCAGCTGGGCTACCACATCTGCATGCTTCCACCACCTGCACGGCTGCCCATTCACCGACACGATGTAGTCACCCTCCTTCAGGCCGGCCGCCTGCAGGGAGACGGGGAGAGTCCCGTGGGCAACCCTCCACCTCTAGCCAGTCCCATCTTCCCCCTTCCCGCAGTCAGCCCCGGGGTGGGGGCCCTTACCGCAGCCCGGCCCCCTGGAACGACGGCAGCGATGAGAACGGGCGCGTCACCCCGTAGCGTGAAGCCGAAACCCCCCTCTCCTCGGGCCACATGGATGGGCCCTGCCAGCCGCCAGTGGTTCTTGGCTGAGAACACGGACAGGGGCCCCTGGGGGCGGTCAGAAGTCAGAGGCCTGGCTGGGCTGCAGCACTTGGGGGAGCCCCGGCCTGGAGCACCCTCACCCCGATCTCCACATTTGGGGACAGAAACCAGCAGGGTCTGCAGGGGGGCCAGGCAGGGTTGGGCCACCATCGAGGGCCTGCCTGAAAACGCAGGGCAGAGCCGAGGTGGGGGTGGCCTGGGAGGGGTGCTCACCAGCCGATGGAAGATATCAGCCACCTTCACCCGGGAGAAGCTGGGTGCCCTGCCCTCTGGCCTCCGCTGCGTCTTAGCTGAAAGGGTGAAAGGGAAGGGAGGGCGTGGCTGAGCCCAAGGCTCACGGCCCGGAACCCTGGGAAGCAGCTGGGTGTGGCTCAGCCAGAGCAGAGTGGGTGACCCGAAGTGCAGCCCGTGCACACCGGCCCCTCTGTGGGCCACCAGCAGGAGGAGCCCCGGGGGGTGGTTTTTGGGGGTCCCAGGTGCAGGGAGAGGGGGGCGTGGAGCTGCCATCACGGCTCCCCTGCCAACGGCCCTGCTCCTCCTTCCAGGGCCCATAGCTCTGTGGCAAATGGCAGTTGCTCGCCAGGAGGCCTCCACCCACCGCCCCCCTGGGGCCAGGACACACCCACCCAAGGGGCCTGGCTGCTCACGCCGAACGTCAGGGGCCTCGGCGGCCTCACAGAAGTCGTCCTCGAGGTCGAGTTCCGAGTACTTGGCCAGAGAGCGCCGCAGCGCCTGGGCCAGCACGACCTGCAGCAGGTCCACCCTGCGCAGGGCCCGGCACACGGCATGCAGCCGCAGGGCCTCCTCCTGACCCAGGATGGCCCGCTTCAGGTGGGCCTTGCCTGCATGGGACAGAGCTGTCACACGCTGCCTGCCTGGTCCTTCCAGGCTGGGCCCCAGCTCCCCCACCCCCAGATGCTGCAAGAGGAGGGCAAGTGAGGGCTTCTGGGCTCATCCTGAGGGCCCGACGGCAGGTCTGAGCCGCGAAAGAGCTGCCGCCGTGTGTGGCTCGCCCCCTCTGCCCCCGCCCCCTCCCGACGCCGCCCGCACTGCTGGGGCCCCTGCTCCGGGCGAGCTGGGGACCCCACCCGCCAGTGCCGGGGCATCAGGGCTGGGGATGACGGGGTGGAGTGGGTCATTCACGCCCGCGGAGGCCCCAGCGCCCCGCCCCCTCCCTCAGCCGCCTCACCCAGCTTCCGGCGGTCCTCCTGTTCCTGGGGCAGTGCGGGGCCCCGGGGCTCAGACGAGGCCGGGAGCCCGAGGAAGATCTGCTCGAGGGCAGGAAGCTCCGCCTCCGCCACCGCTGTGGGTCGGAGAGGGCGGTGAGGCGCCGGCGGGGCCCTGCCGGCACACGGGCATGCGGGGCGGGGCACTCACGGGCGCCGTCACACAGGGCCAGGGCCGCGTGGTAGTGGGCCAGGGCGCGGAAGTGCTCGGCCTTCACGTGCACCAGGGTGGTCCAGGGGAAGGGCACGTAGTCCTGGACGGGCGGCTGGGCCATGGCCTGATGCACCAGCCGGTACTCGGCCGCCACCTGCTGGCGCACACGGCAGGATGGTGGGGCCTCCCGCGAGCCTAGCGGCCTGGGCCCCCACCTCTCCCCACCCTGGGACTTGGCTTCGACCAAAGTCCCAGCGGCCCTGCCCCACGCCAGGCTGAGCTTCAGGGGCAGGGCCCCGGTTCCTGCCTTGATTGGTGTTGCCCCAGAGGCGGGGGACTCGGGACCTCAGGGTTGACAGCCGGCTCTGGGACCCTACAGGAGGCCCTGTACCCACCCCCTCCGCCGCCCAGATCCTGGCTCTGCTCCTAAGCTCCAGCCGGCACCCTCGACCCAGGCCCTGCTGCCCACTGAGACACCACAGCTTGGCCGGGCTCCCCGCTCTCACCTGGGCGGCCTCCTGAGCCAGGTGGAGCTGGGCCAGGCAGTCATGGGGAGCCACGGGGGCCTGCAGCAAGAGGCCCTCGAAGACGCACTCCTGGGCCTGGGCGGTCATGAGCTGCTCCAGCATGGAGAGTGAGGCGGGGCTCATGTCAGGGCTGGGTGCGTGGGAGAAGTTCTCCCTCAGGAGGCTGAAGGCCCCTGCGGAGGGGAGGGGGCTCAGGGTGGCACGGCGGGGCCACCCCGCCCCCGCCCCCACCCCGTGTGCTCGGCCCTGGTTGGGGAGCACCCTCTGCGCCCCACGGAGGGCCTGTGCGTGTGACCCCTCGGGCTAGGGGGCATTGTACTGGGCCCCTAGCTCTGGCCACAGAGAAGGCTCTGCTCCTCACGCCTGGAAGCGAGGACCACGCAGGCACAGCTGGGGGTCCAGCCCTGGGCGGCTCTCACCCGCAGCCCTCTGAAAGGCCTCCACGGCACAGCTGGCGCCCTCGGGGCAGGAGCGGTCCTGGCGAGCCCCGATCTGGGTGTGGAGGGCACCGATGTTGAAGAGCACGCTGCCCTTCTCGAAGGCCAGGGCCCGCTGCTGGGCCGGAACCCCCGTCAGCGAGTCGTACCTGCAGGGTCGGGTCAGGCTGGGCAGAGCCCTCACAAGAAGCCAGGGTCTCAGAAGCGGCCGCTGCCCCCCGCCCCGCCCCTACCAGTGGAACAGCAGTCCCAGGCTCCTGGCAGGGGTGACAAAGCGTGCCTCCTGGAAACACAGCTGATTGTAGTAGGCCGTGAGCAGCTCCAGGCCTGCCTCGCTCCGGCTAGGGGTCCGCGTGGCCTGCCGGGTGGAAGTCAGCGGGGTCCCACGGCCCCAGCCCACCTCATGGCATGCACACCGCCCTGGGAATCCCCTTGAATGCAACAGCCCCAGGAGAGCACCCCAGGGTCTAGGGGTGGACACGGTCACACCTGCCCTCCCAGGGGCTGCTGTGGACCACGTGTGCCACTCCAGGAGACTGTGCAGGGCATTGGGGCAAGAGACCCAGGCAGGGTCCCTGGGGTGGGGACAGGCACAGAGTAGCCATTCCCAAAGGGCCAGCAGCACCGAGCCTCTGTCTTCTCACCTATGGACTGGGAGGCACCCACCCACCTGCCGCAGGTCCTCCAGCTCCCGGATTTCAGCCTCGTAGGAAGCACTGTCCTCTCCAAAGTGCCCTGAGATCAGCTCCTGATTCGAAGGGACAAGCGCTGGCCTTCTCTGAAGTCTCCCAGCCCGACGTGGGTGAAGACCCGAAGCGAGGGGAGGCCCTGGTCTACACACTGACGTGGGTGCCCCCCACCACAGATGTGGGTGCCCCCCACCACAGATATGGGGCCTGGAGACTTGGTGATGTTTCTACTTGAATTCCCTTATTAACCCCATGAGGCAAGTGCTACCTGCCACTTGACAGGCAAGGACACTGAGGCCGAGAGGCGAGGCACCTTTCTGCCGGCCTGGCCGGAGCGGCGAGCTGCCCAGGGCAGCCAGGCTCACGAGCCCCAACAAGGACCCGGGAACCAGCAGGTTTTCTCAGCACAGGCTCTGTCTGGAAGAGGTGGCCCCTGCCAGCGGGACCCTCAGAGTGAGAGTCAGGACCCTGCAGCCATCTTGGGGCCTCCAGTGCTGCTGACACCCATCCCAGCGTGCATGCCTTTCTGCAAAGCCCACCCAATCCAAATCCCCCGTAGCCTGGGGAGGCCAAGCGGCTCCAGGGCAGAGACCCTTCTCCTCTCTGGGCCTCAGAGTCTTCATATCCGTGAGATGGCTGGACCAGGAAGCCCCCAAAGACCCCCCAGAGCCCAGGGCTCACAGGCCAGCACTCACCTTCAGGGGTGTGGCCCAGTCTAGCTGCTTGGTCTCCTTCAGCCCCAGGGGGATCATGGGGACAGTGATACCTTCGCTAGAACCAGAAGCATCGAGTCTGGGCTCTAAGGCTGGACTCTGCTGTCCCCAGTGGCCACGGAGTCCACCCGCTACCACTCCTGCCCCACGGGACACGCCTCTCCTCTGATTATGGTACATGTCCTTGCACACCACACACGTCCCACCACACCCTGTCCTGGATCACATCCTCCCACACACACGCGTGGTGGGTGCTGCTCTGCGCACGCATGCACACGCACCTCTGGGGCCCCTCCGTGTCCTTGCACACATGTGCACACGCACCTCTGGGGCCAGTCCGTGTCCTTGCGCACGCATGCACACACACCTCTGGGGCCAGTCTGCGTCCTCGCGCACACATGCACACGCACCTCTGGGGCTGGTCGGCGTCCACGTTGCCATCGAGCCCCTCCAACTCCTCCTTCAGCAGCTGCAGGCTGGAGTTGACGTAGCTCAGCTCCAGGGCCACAGTCTCCCTCACCCGGGCGTTGCTGGTGGCTCTAGGGGAGGCCAGGCTGAGGTGAAGCCCTATCCCTGCAGGCGGACCCATGCCCCTGGGCTTCGCTGCAGCCCCTGCCCCAGCCTGAGCTCTGGAGCCCACTCCCAGAGTGATGTGCCGACGGGCCCAGCCCCCTTGGGGGGGCAGCAGTGGGGTCCAGGGCCCGCCAGATGACCTGCCCCTTCTCTGCAAACCCCCGTGGTTCAGGCAGATTCCTGTCCACGGGGGTATGTTGTGACTCTGGCTCAAGCACATCTCCTTGGTCCCTGAGCTTCCAGGGCATAAGTGTCCTCCACCACCTCTTGCTTCCCCAGGACACAGCTCACGCCTGCCCTCCACAGCGAATGGAAGCCAACTTCCCTGGAGGGGCGGGGATCAGACCCTCTCTGTGCCTGCCAGTGGGGCCACAGGTCCAGGAAGGCAGGGCTGGCCCTATGGATGGGAGGGACAGGGAGGCAGGGCTGCTAAGGAAAAGGAGTGGCCCAGGCCCAGCTGAGCCCCGCCCTGGGGCTGGCTCTGCACTCACCGGCACTCTGCACTCGAGCAGGCCAGGCCTCCTCCCTGGGCCTCGGGCCATCACTGGTAGAACAGGAGTGTGTGAAGGTCAGCACACAGCTGCTGGTCACCATGTGCATCTCAAAGGCTCCCACACTGCACACCGGTGGGGACATCCCCTCCAGCCCTGCTCCAGCCCCGCACGGAACGGAACTCAGCTGGCCTTGAGCCTACCCCTGCCAGTTTGGGCCACCAAGGTGGGGGCCTGAGTCACCTGTGAGGGTCTCAGCTGAGCGGCATGGCTGCCCCAGACCCCAGTGGGAGGCCCAGCCCTGCCTCTTAGGAGCCTGAATGGGAGGCCACGGTCACGGAATCACATGTGGACCACAAGACCAGGCACCCACCTGGGTCACTGCCCTGCCCCGGGATGCACCTGCCTTGCAGGGGCCTCGGGGAACACGGCACTGTTCTCCCATGGGTCGGCCGGCGGCAGGTGTCCCAGGCAGCCAGCACGCACCTGTACAGGTTCTCGGCGCCCGTCCGCATCCTCAGCTCCCTGTTGATCTGCTGGTGGATCTGGGCCCTGCGGCTCTGCAGGCAGCCGTGCTGCGAATTTGCCAGGAGGTCACAGCCCTGCCGAGAGGCCACAGGTCACGGGGGCCGGGCCAGCAAGGACATGGCGGGCGGGGATGTGGCTGGGACTGGGGCCCCGGGAAGAATCTGGGCCTGTCCAGTGTGGCTCTGGGTCTCAGCAGCCCAGCCTGGAGCTCCTGCCGGGAGATGGCCAATTACTCACCACACATCCTCCTGCACTTCTGAATTCCTTCTGTAACCCCCACGACCCATCCCGCCCACACAATTATGCCAGGCCACACACGTTTAATTGGAGGGGATGCCCAGCCGGCTCCCGCTGGGGCGCTAACAGAGAGGAGGCTCCCCTGGGCCACGCTGAACATGGCCGGGCTCCATCCCAGTTGGCTGCTTACTGGCGGCAAACGCTCAAACCACAGGCCCAGGGTCCCTCCGCTCACAGGCAGCAGGCCAGGCCTCCCGACGGCCACCATCCGAAGTGCCTCCACGCGGGTTCTGTACTGCATATGGGCCACCTGCCAGCCTGCCCACGTCCCGGGCCCCAAGCAGGGAGCCCTGCGACAGGTTCAGAGGGTGAGAGGCTTCCTCTGGTGAGGGGAGGGGCTTCAGGGCCCCAGTGGGACTGGTGCAGCCGTGGCCACCACACCTCCTCCTGGCCATTTAAGAACCTCCCGTGTGGGTCAGTCACCAGCCCAAGAGTTGAGAAGGATTTCTCAGAACGTACTTCCTTGGGCAACATCCTCTCAGGCTCAGGTGATCACCTGGCCCCCGAACGGAGCAGGGACGAGAACACAGTGCCTCCCAAGACCCTGCCCTGATGGCACAGACAGGGGAAGTTTTATTCATGCGGGGCTGATGCTGGCCTCCCTGCAATGGCCACTGTCTTCTACAAATCTGAGGAAGCATGCCTCCACTGTCAACACACAGGGCAGTTTCCCACCTTCTGGGGGCTCTAGTTTGTCCCAGCCCTGTGCAGGGGGCACCCTAAAGAAGGCCTCACTCCCTTGCACAGACAAGGCTCCTGGTGCATGGCCACCTTGGATTATGGCCCAACATCTCCTCCACACTCCAGTATTCTCAGGAGAGATCAATCACAGAAGACTTCCTGCAGGAGGAGGCATTCTTCTGGGACTTGAAGGAGAGAAGGCTTCAAGGCAACTGGGGAGAGGGAACTTGTCCCCATTGAACAATGGGAGAAAGAGCAATCAACTTGGAGGACTCCCTGCTGTGGGACCCTGGGCAGGCCCTCATCTGTAGATGGGAAGGGGGCTGGTGTCAGGGTGGCACCAGGATGGAACAAGACAAAACACGGCTCTCCCCTCTCCGCTCTGCTTGTTGAGTGTCTGTCTTCCCACTGGCCTGCGCCTCTTCTCCGTGGTGCCTCCCATACCCACTTGGTGCAAAAGGGAATGAGCAGAGGACGTGAGCAGTCTCCCCTCCAGGAGGCCTGAGAATCTGGGGGGAGAGGGGCAGGCCACAGCTGAAGCTACAACCCTATCCCTCCAAAGGTCCAACTGCAAAGCTCCAGCAGGTTCTAAGGGTTCTGGGTGAGCAACACAGCTGTCTGCCTGGGGAGGGTGGTCCACGTGCCAGGCAGAGGCCTCCAGCCTCGCAGGGCTGTCCTCATCAACACAGTTCGTTTGTCTCCAATGTCAAGTGCTCCCGGAGAGATGTGTTAGAGGCGGGAGACCACGGCCTCTGAGCCAGGGCCCCCTCTGAGCTCCGCAGCCAGCAGCCCCGTGGCCTTGTGACCCTAACGCTCCCTCCAGAAGGCAGGTTGGCTGCGTGGCCTGGGTGGCAGGTGTGCCTACGGCCCAGTCCGCAGTGCTGGGCAGGCTGAGAGCCACGCTCACCCCCATTTCCGCACCAGGTGGTAAAGGGATGTGCCAGCTCACCCACCTGTGGAAGAACCTCCACCCCGATGGAGAGGAGGAGCAACCCCCCCACACCCTCCCTGCAATGGCCCTGATGGCACGGGTCTAGCGGATCCCCCAGAAGCCCAGGAGGAAATGGCATGGGCAGTGTCCAGAACTGGCTACGTGTGGGGGCAACTATGCCAGCACAGGCCTGGGAACAATCAGCAAGGTGGTGAGCAGGGCCAGGCCTTCCACCCTGTGGGTGCAGGTGCCACCTACGCTTGGTGGCACCAGACTGAAAACCCTTGGGGACATGGATGCCCAAGGCCTGGCATAAACACTGGGGCAGCCTCTTGGTGACCACCTGGGGACAACTGGGCTCCCGGGCTGCAGAGCGAGGCAGCCAGAGCACCCTCTCCTTCCCAGGCACAGACTCGAATGTCTCCACACCCCCTCCCTTCCAGAGCTTCCCCAGTCGTCCTGGAAATGGTCCACAGTCCACAGCGCGTGGGGTCAGGGATTTCAGGAGGGGGCAGAGGTGCGGGTAGGTGAGGAGGGACAAACCACCTAGCTGGGCAATCCTCCAGCCATTTCCTGTACCCACGAGGCTTCAGCCACCTGTTGCTAAAAGTTTCATCAAACACAGAGCTGGGTGCCCAGGGCAAAGCTGAACAGCCCTAGGAGAGAGAGGGGAAAACTAGAAAAGGAGGAATGATGGGCACCAGGAACAAAAACGAGGGCCACGGGCTGTCACTGACCAGAGCCCAACACCTGTCACAGAAGGGGGTCCTGAAGCGTTGGAGAAAACCACGAGGTGGACTTGCGCTCCCGCCTGTTCCTGGTCGACACAGGAGGGGTCCCCAAACGGGCTAGAGAGGAGCCCAGCACAGGCAGACAGCTGGGCTCTGGCTCCGCACCGGGCCCCAGTTTCCCCAGCGATAAGCCCACCTTGCCTCTAGGGGCGAGCGAGATGCGGGGTTCGCCCCGGAGTCTAGCGGCGCGCTCGGACGGGAGAAGCCAGCGCCGACCCGGCAGTCCCGCGCCCGCCGGAGTCAGATGGCGACAGGAGCACGTCGGGTCTGGCACCCCACCTCCCGGCGCCCCCCGCCCTGGTGCACTCCCACCTTGCGGACGCTGCCCGCCGCCTGCAGCCGGGCGCTCTCCTCGCCGGCGCCCGCGCCGTCCGGCCTCCCCTCGGGCACCATCGCCGCCCGCCGTTCGGGCCGCGCCCGCCTGGAAGCCAACGCTGGCGCAGCAACCCCGGGCGCGCGGGATCCCGCACTGCCCTCTCCCGCGCCCCCCCCCGCCGCGGGGGGGGGGGGGGGGGGGGGGGGGGTGGCCCAGTCGGCTGGAGGGGCGGGGCGCTGGGCGCCGAGCGTGCGAAACTTTCCGCTGCTCAATCGGCGGCAGCGGAGACTCCGACGGACAGCAGCCTTGGCCAACCAGGGTGCGAGGGAGGTGGTTCCGCGGCCAGGCCCCGCCCGCCCGCGCCCGCGGAGCCCCGGGGGAATGCGGTCGCCCCTGGCAACCGCCGGCCGGCGGATAAGGGAAAAACACTGCGCCGCGCAGGGCCCAGGGCTGCGCGGGTTTCACCCGCACCGGCGGGGGGGGGGGGGGCAGAGGGGGGGGGGGGGGGGGCGGTCTCCGCGGGGCTAGTCCGAAAACATCCGCAATGGGGTTAACGGTTTTGCTAGCGCGAGCGCCCGTGCAGCTCTTAAGGTCCGCTTTCCTGTCTCCACGCGGGTACCCAGGCTCCGGCCTGGCCCCAGTGAGGTGCCATGGTCGGCCGTCCATTGTCACACCTCCAGAACCCGCTTCCAGAACCTTACTCTGGAACCCGACTCTGGAGCCCCCGCCCCAGAATCCTCCTCCAGAACCCACCTCCACAGCCTGCTTCCAGTATCATCTTCCTTTCACAACCTACTTCTAGAACTGACTTGCCTCCAGGACCAGCCTGCTTCCAGAATTGGACTCTTTCCGTAACCTGCTCTCCCTGCAGGGTTGCCCCAGCGATGTGCCTCCGTCCAGGTCCTTTCATAATTTCTCTAGTTATGGTGACTCTGCAATGCACTCAAATTTCATGTGGGGCTCACCTCACCCAAGAACACACCGCTTGTAGGGGCAGGAACACCAGAGTAATAAGTAGCCCTAGTTTATCAAGTTCCGATAAAGTTCCAGCTTGTCCGTCCTCACCATCTCCCCTCCGTGCAGAGCCCTAGGCTCCTTCTCTCCAAACGTGCGCGCCTGATCCGGCAGTTCCCCAGCGCTAAATCCTGTAAACTAAGCTCCTTGGCCCACCCTGGCCATCTGCAACAATAACAACTCCAAAATAAGGTAATTGTTAACTCCTGGGAAAATAAAAGGTAACCACAGAATATAACCTGACTCGGCTGTGTATTTCAGGATGTCCTGGCATCTTGACCTCAGGACCATTATAAGGAGTTTCTGTTAGGAGGAGGGGAGAGGGGAAGAGTGAAGAGGTGGGTGAGAGAAGCTGAAGCTTCATCCTCCTGAGGCAAAGTCAGTAGGTAAGGCCTCAGTTAGAAAGCAGAATTCCGGATGCAGAAGTATGTTGTTTGGAACCGTGGAATTCAGTACCAAACCGGCAGCTCAAAGAGTTACGAGAGGTCGCCCCTGGGCAGGGCGGTAGGGGACTGGAGGAGGCTCCGGTTTGACTAATCGGGTCTTGTAGAGCTAAGGTTGGTGAAACTCTGCACCTTCTATAACAAGGCAATCCCAAAGCTTAGTTTTGGAAGAGTGGATGTCTAGAAATTGACAACAAAAAACATCCAAAATAAAAGGTAACCATTGGAAGTGAAAAGATATTTCTAAATAAGGTTTGAAATAGAAGAAAGAACACAAACTTCACATTACCTAAAAAATAACTAGAAGGCTTCCCTGGTGGCACAGTGGTTAAAGAATCTGCCCACCAATGCGAAGGACACAGGTTCAAGCCCTGGTCCGGGAAGATCCCACATGCCGCAGAGCAACTAAGCCCGTGCGCTACAACTACTGAGCCTGCGCTCTACAGCCCGCGAGCCACAACTACTGAGCCCACATGCCACAACTACTGAAGCCCATGCAGCTAGAGCCCGTGCTCCGCAACAAGAGAAGCCACTGCAATGAGAAGCCTGCTCACCGCAATGAAGAGTAGCCCCCGCTTGCCGCAGCTAGAGAAAGCCTGTGCACAGCCAAAAATAAAAATAAATGTTTAAAGACCCAGATCATCTTCAAAAATGCAAAGCAAGAAAAGAGACATTAAAAATATATATAAATAAATAAATGCCCGTGACGCCAGGGCACACCTGCACAGTCACTGTCCAGCCCCAAACATCGGCAGGACACAGTGACCCACAGTGGTCACCTTAGTCCCATTCCTTTAGCCAGCCATTGGCCTAGACGCATGGGCTCAGGATGTAGTTGTGGCCAGTTGGGCAGGGGGGGTCTTCAGAGGGCCCCTGGGAGAGCCCCACAGGAGAGGTAGTTTGTAACTTTTAGTTAAGGAAATAATGCAGGGAAACTAAATACTAGGGGAAAGAAGACAAAATTATATTCAAATGACATGATTGCATAATTTAAAATCCCAAGAAATTCAACCAAAAAGAAACCCTATTAGAACTAATTAGATAATTTGGTAAGGTAGCTAGTGGACTGAATTTTCTCCACCTTCCAAATTCCTATGTTGAATCCCTAACCTCCAATGTGATAGGATTTGGAGGTGGGGCTTTTGGGCAGTGATGAGGGTTAGATGAGGTCATGAGGGTGGGGACCCCATGATGGGATTAGTGTCCTTGTAAGAGAAAAAGACACCAGGGAATTCCCTGGCAGTCCAGTGGTTAGGACTCCCTGCTTTCACTGCCGGGGGCCTGGGTTTGACCCCTCGTCAGGGAACTAAGATCCCACAAGCTGAGTGGCATGGCCAAAAAAAAAAAGAGAGAGACACCAGAGTTTGCTTTCTTAGCCATGTGAGGACACAGTGAGAAGGTGTCCATCTGCAAACCAGGAAGAGAGTCTTTACAAGGAGCTGAATAAGCTGGCATCTTGATCCTGGACTTAGCCTCCCGCACTGTGAGAAAATAAATTTCTCTCCATGGCAGTACACGGTAAATGCCGATGGGCTCTGACTTACACTTTTATACTGATCTATACTTTGCAGCTATGAGCCACACAGGCTATCGATGCGAACGTGAACACCCAGATTTTCGAGTTGGGAGGAAAGTTGGGCTCTGTTCTGAGCCTCTGCAAGTTCCAGAGGAGGGCCTGGCCATCTGGAGTGTCACCGGCTTGCCCAAGACCCACTGGCCGGAGAGGAGCCAGGACCCTTGCAGCATCCAGCACCTTCTCTGCACACAGCCCGTTTCCTGGTAAGGACTGACCATGGGGAATGCCCCGGGTGAGCCAAAAATGCCATCAGGAGGAGGAGGTGGGACAGAGAAACCTAGAGAAAGCAGCTGATTCTAGAAAATTCCCACCTGGCCTGGATTGGGCCATTTTGACGGCTGCCTCGTCCCCAGGAGGTGCTGAAGAATTTGGGTCTGGGGTCTTTTGGTTCCACGCTAAATGTTGAATGACTTGGTGAAAAGTGGTGGCACTTCCGTCGATCTTCTCTCTGGTCCCAAATCTCAATTAGGGACAGTGCTGACACTGTTTATTTACATTTGCATTTTTTCAGAATGAGGGGCAGAGGAGTCAGGCTCTGGAGGCACAGGATTGGCAAAAAATTCCTTTACTCCTGTATTTGCTCACGGCTGTGGCACGCTAAGATTTTGGAGTTTTGGTGTGCGCCTGTACTTACAGGGTACACAGCATAAATTGAAGAATAAATAACCGTAAAGCCCGAAGGGAGCATGATACACTGCTGTGTGCAAGCCGCTTGTCTGTGACAAATGGCGTACCAGGCACCGCGGGACCACAGGAAGCCTTAATCAATGGAGGTAATCGCCACCAATGCATCAGCCGTGCGGGTGTCACTGAGGGACCGACGCTGGAGAAGAATCAACGGAACGTGAAAAAGGAATTGTTTGTAAATACAATCAACAATTTTGTGTTCATGAGAAAGCCATTCATCATTTGGAAACCACCTTTACTAAAAGATGCACCTGGCTTCTCAGTGAGATGGGGCCATCAATCCCACCCAAGTCATGGGGCCGGCTCAGGGCTGTCAAAGGCCCAGGGAACAGACACACATATTTATTCTTATTTGAAGGCAAGTTGAGAGTCATTTGGGGGGGGGGAAAAAAGAGCCACTGAGCGCATTGGCTGCAGAGGGCACCTGGAAAGCCACCTGGGAGCAGACAGAGCGCCTTGAACAGTGTTCTTCAGGGCGCCCAGCCCAGGGCCCTGGTGGGAGGGGCTCTGTGGGCCCTGAATACCCACCACACTCTGGACCCTTCCCAAGCCATGTCTGTGCTCTCGCCCCTCCTGGACGCAGAGGTGCACGTGGGGAGGGAGGGAGAGGTCTGTCTCTGAGTAAGGACGGTGGCTTCTGGGGAAACGGCACTTTTCGGGGATGAGGTCCAAGGAAAGGGGGTGGGTACAAATTATTGTCCTTGTAAGTTTGGCATCGTGGCCTGGCTCCATGGACATTTTTCTGGCCACTTTGGGGAACTAGCTTTATCCTTTGAACAGTGCAAGGTGAGGATGCCCAGGGCTCCCCAGAGCGTGGTGTTTACTGGTCTGATCCCTGGCAGACGGCTGAAGGCACCTGCATGTTCTCCCCCACTGAGGCCTCCCCACGACCTTCTGCGGAAGGACCACCCTGGGCTCTGGAGGAGTGGAGGCCAGGTGAGGCCAGGTGGGGAACGGGCTGCAGCCAGGGCCACGTGTGGTGGGGCAGTCATGGGCAGACAGCTTGGCAGTTCATGGCAGTGCCAGGAAGAGGAGGAGCAGCTGGGCCAGATGCCCCCCCAGAAACCTGGGGATGGACACGGTCCGAGGAGCGCCCGTGAGTGAGGCGTCATCCCACGTTGCTGACGGTCAGCGGGATAAGGCCAGGGAAGGTGGTGGTGGGTGTTGGAGACCTCGCTGGGGGCCGTCTCAGTGGGGTGTGGGGACAGAAGGCTGCCTTAACGGGGATCAAAAGTGAGCCAGAGGACTGGAAGTGGACACACATCTGGGGAGTTCTGCTTGGCGGGGGGTGGGGGGCAGAGAACTGGTGGGACACGTGCTTGTGGGGTCAGGGGAGGGCTGAGGGGCTGGCCAGCCT